ATTTCAATTAAAGATCAAACTAGTTTCCCAGCTGTATTAAAAAATCATACATTATATATAGCTTTGTGTGAATATCGAAAACAAATGAACAACCCAAAATGTAAAAATCAAGTTGCTTCCACATTTTACCATAATCTAATTTGAAATGACTGAAACAAAAAACTTTATAATGTCATGAGAACTTTACAACGATAACACCATTCTGGTAATGCTAACAATAATATGATCATATTATTGTATACTCTGATAATGCTAACAATAATATGATCATAGTGTTACGACAGCAGAAGTCACGTGATTCTGGTAACACATGATGATTTTCTAGAAGGATCGGGGAACATCACGAATAATCCAATATTTGCTAGACGCCCTCTATTCCTGTATATAAGCGCGCCAGATAAAGCGAGACAATTAATCGGAATTGGAATCTCAGATAGAGAGATTGAAGATATAGACACGGATAGTTGAGTCAAGCGGGCGGTAGGCACCGTAAGTAAAGCGCGTGAATCGTTGTGAATGATAGCGTGTGTTTAAGTTAAAGTGACTGTGGAAATTAAGTGTACTACAAAGTTTGTAACGAGAAAGAATAAACTAGTCCAAGAAAGGACTTGTATCGCTGAAGTTTCTCGGAAAGAATTTCTATGGAAAATTAACAAACGAACAGAGACGTAAAAATGTTATTGTATACTCTGATAATGCTAACAATAATATGATCATATTATTGTATACCCTGATAATGCTAACAATAATATGATCATATTATTGTATACTCTGATATGGCTAACAATAATATGATCATATTATTGTATACTCTGATAATGCTAACAATAATATGATCAAATTATTGTATACTCTGATAATGCTATCAATAATATATTATTGTATATCCACAACTGACAGACACCTTTTCATTATAAACACCAATACGTTATTAATTATATTTACTATATTTATTATTAATGTTTTTCTCACTTTGTAGATTAAGTTTGTATTGTTTTTCTCTCACAAGGTGCAATGCATATTTTTTTTAAGAGAATAAATTACATTTGTGATGGGAGTACCGCCACATAATTAATGTGTCGACATTAATCATAACATATAAAATTCGGGTCATTGATTATTGCATAGATAAATATCATATACCGGAAAATAGTGGGAGTTTGAAAGTTTTTAACTTGTACTATCACTGAAACAGACGCTTGCGTCTATGGCGTTAATAATCGCACTGAAATATCACGACAAAGTCTGCCATGCTGGCCACTGCTTCGTCTGTAACAGACGATAAGTCAACAGCTGACACAACAGGAAACTAATAAATACTTCTAATTTTGGCTCAGTCCTACCCACGCGCACCTCTGCAAACGAGTTAAAACAAAAAGGATTAAGCATTTTTAAGGAGTTCCTAAAGCCAGATGGAAGGATTTTGTAAAACGTCAACGCGCCACGTGCTACACTCGCGCGATATATCACGTTGCATTGTGACACAACACCCCGCCCTTGTCTCGTATCACTGACCGCTATTTTTACTGCCTTACGAAGTTCACTTAATAAGAGCGTTAAATATAGAAGATCGTGAATTCTCTTGGTTGATTTTCATTTAAGATTAAATCCCCGTTTATTCAACTTCCATTAATGTACACGACTTATTGACCAATGTATTTAGCGCACGTACTCAACGAAACCGTCATTTTTCGAATTAAATTTTACCTTAAAAAAGGTATTCAAGAAGATGCTACACGTGCATACTTGCTTTAATACATATCATTTTAAATGTTTTCACGTATTGAAGTAGAGCAGTTCAGTCGTTCCACGAGCTCCTTCAACATGCTGTCGCGAATCTGATGCAATGACTATTTCATTACTTGGACGTGCCTTTTCTGTGATTTACACACACACACACAGAATACAACAATCATGGATCCGCCGCTTTATTTAACGAGTAAATAATACATACATTACATGTCATTTACCATGTATAATTACCCTGGTAACTTAAAACCAAGAAAGACGACCTATTTTCTTTGAAAAGTATCTCTATCTCTGAAGCCTGGTGGGCCGGGCGTGACCTGGAGTTAGAGTGCCCGGTCTGCGAATTTGAGGGATCACGGTCCATCATTTTTCATCTAATTATTGTTCAAAGTGTTTGAAGTTAAGCACAAACGCTACACAATGAGTTATCTGTGCTCTGCCCACCACGGGTATCGAAACCCGGTTCCTAGCATTGTACTGTTCAAGACAAGAAAACGTTAATGAAAACCTTAACAACTTTTCATTTGGAGTCGGGCGTGGCCAGGTCCTTAGTGCGTCCGGACAGTGAATACGAGACTTACGGTTGCCATAAAAAAAAACGCGCTCCGCACTTTTGGGCCGTGGGTGCCCTATAAGATTGATGGTCAAATCGCAGTATTCGATGATCAGGTAGGAGTAACTCATGAGTTGGCGATGGGTATTGTTGACTAACTCTAGTTGGCCCGACATGGCCAGGTGGTTAGGGCGCTTGATTCGCGATCTGAGGGTCGCGGGTTCGAATCCTCGTCTCGCTAAACATGCTCGCCATTTTAGCCGTATCAGCGTTATCACGTGACGATCAATCCCACTATTCGTTGGTAAAAAAAAAAGTAGCCCAAGAGTTGGCGGTGGGTGGTGATGACTAGCTGCCTTCCATTTAGTCTTTCACTGCTAAATTAGGGACGGCTAGCGCAGATAGCCCTCGTGTAGCTTTGCGCGAAATTCAAAACAAACCAAACCCACTAGTCTATTCGTTCAAAATTATGGAATGCCATACCCAGACGGCGCTCGTATCGCTTTACGCGAAAATTTAAACCAAATTTTTTCCCCTAACGTTTTTAGATCTATCTATAAAACCAATTTGTTAATTGTTACCCATTCCACAAACATGACAACATACTTCCCCATAGGGGGTGTTTTTCGAAAAGAAGGAATATTCGAAGGTCTACTTGGGTAACAATTAACATCAAGTATATTCAAACAATGTTTCGCTGAAATCTACATTCAATGTTCCTCCCACTACCAAAACACTATAACTATTTCGCACCTTTTATAAAAATAATAATAAATAAATAAAATATTTCACCTACCCGAGAACTTCTGGAGGCGTTAGGATCCAGGTAAGTCTTCAGCCTTCGAAGATAGAAGGAAGGTGACTCCTTGGCCATTACTTTCTCCTGTGTGATACAGCACGTAATTAATAGTTTGTTGTTCGAACAATCGGACATACAGCACGTAATCAATAGTTTGTTGTTAGAACAATCGGACATACAGCACGTAATTAATAGTTTGTTGTTAGAACAATCGGATATACAGAACGTAATTATTAGTCTCTTGTTTGAACAATCGGACATACAGCACGTAATCAATATTCTGTTGTTAGAACAATCGGACATACAGCACGTAATTAATATTAATTACGTGCTGTATGTCCGATTGTTCTAACAACAGAATATTGATTACGTGCTGTATATCCGATTGTTCTAACAACAGACTATTAATTACGTGATGTATATCCGATTGTTCCAACAACAGAGTATTAATTACGTGCTGTATGTCCGATTGTTCTAACAACAGAATATTGATTACGTGCTGTATATCCGATTGTTCTAACAAGAGACTAGTCTCTTGTTAGAACAATCGGATATACAGCACGTAATCAATATTCTGTTGTTAGAACAATCGGACATACAGCACGTAATCAATATTCTGTTGTTAGAACAATCGGACATACAGCACGTAATTATTAGTCTCTTGTTTGAACAATCGGACATACAGCACGTAATTATTAGTCTCTAGTTAGAACAATCGGACATACAGCACGTAATTAATAGTCTCTTGCTGTTTTTTTAAGAAATGAAAACTGGCAATTCTGGCACTGACATTTTTTTTTAAATTCTTATGGGGACACAAAAACTGACCAATCAAACTGTGTCTTGGACAAAACTCCTAAAACACATTTTTTATATTAAAACAATTTATACCAAGTGTACAATGGGCATGAGATGTGTGTGTGTGCGTGCGTTTTCTGATAGCAAAGCCACATCGGACTATTTGCTGTGTCCACCGAGAGGCATCGAGCTCCTGATTTTTGCGTTGTAAATCCGAAGACTTACAGCTGTCCCACCAGGGGACAAGGCACGAGATGTGATAAAGGAAACACAACTGGTCACAGCTAAATGCACCTTACAAGTAAGAATAACATATCATCCGTTAAGTCTACAGATTTACAACACTAAAATCAGGGGTTCGGTTCCCCTCGGTGGACACAGCAGATAGCCCTATGTGGCTATGCTATAAAATATTTAAAAAAAGAGTAACATGTGATTAACAATTTAAAATGTCAGAAAATCATAAAATACCTGGTCACAAATCAAGTCCCATTTCTTTTCATCATCGTATTGCTTGAGAAGTTTGGCCTTATCTGGAGGAAGATCCATGGACGCCTAAACGTACAAGAATACAAGAAAATACTGTAATTAGTCTCAGTACGGAACATACGAATACTGTGACACGTGACATGCCTTCGGAATTCAGAGTCGTGGTCAAAATCAAGTTTATTTACAAAGTTCGGGAATGGAAACGAATCTTATTTACATTTAAACGGTGAGTGCTAAGAAGTAAAACTAACAGTTTTCGTTATCTTGAACTAATCTTTCCCTGAGAGTGAATTGACCTCCAGTGGAAACTATTTCTCTTAAAGACAACACAATAAAAATAACAAACTCTCATTAAAGTAATGGTTTCTGTTGTTTTTCTGTAACAAAAGCAAAAATACTGTACATAACTAACAACTTTTCTGTCAGTTATTCAATTAATCTGTTCTTTAATAAAAACGAATAACCTGACTGAGCAAGGATACTTTCTCTAGTAAAGATTCCATCTTCTATCGCCCCGTATGGCCAGGTGGTTAGGGCATTCGACTCGCAGTCTGCGGGTCGCAGGTTCGAATCCCCGTCCCACCAAACATGCTCGCCCTTTCAGCCGTGGGGGCGTTATAATGTGACGGTCAACTATTCGTTGGTAAAATAGTAGCCCAAGAGTTTGCGGTGGGTGGCGATGACTAGCTGCCTTCTCTCTAGTATTACACTACAAAATTAGGGACGGCTAGCGCAGATAGCCCTCGTGTAGCTTTGCGCGAAATTCAAAAACAAACTATCTTCTATAGATATACATTTAGGTCAATGACCTGGCTTCATTTTGTACTTATTTTGTTGTTAATTTAGCTGATGATTCCCAGGATAGAAGGATGTTTCTTCTAATCACTTTGTTCGCTTTATAAAGGTAAATCAGAACCTATACCCGTATTCATCATATCTTCTATAAACTATTATTTTACAATGTCTGTGTGTGTCCGCTTATAACTGACGAACCGTTGAACCAATTATCACCAGTCCTAGCGTGTACGTCTGGTCTCCCGAAGAGTTGTATAGAGGAGGACACACCTATATCATCCCCAGGAGACCTCAATACGCTCTACACTTTCATTAGTGATGGTCAATGCCGATATCCAGTTAAAAGTAGTCACACAGGCGGCAAGTTTTGTTAATTAGTTGCCCCCCCCCCCGGTCAGCTGTTCTAAATTAGAGACGAGTACGTCTCAACTCCAGGAGTCATTTAGACTGAAAATACTCAATACTAGACGTCCGTGAAACTAATGTGACGTGCCATGAACACTACGAGGCGCTTAGTCAGTAGGTTACAAACACACACACACACCCAACGGTCATATCGTGACTGTTTAAGGTTCTGAAGTCAACAGTGATATCACAGTTTACAATTGACAAACGTAGTAGTGGTTTAATAAAATTAATGAATTTCCGATAACAATAATTACATAATTTTCTAAGTATATATCTCTTGTATTAAACAAACACTTGCACGTGCATGTCCTCAAAGCTCGAGGAAGCAGGGCAGTTAAACACTCGTCATCTTGTCATAAAGAGCAGTTTCACAACACGTTCTTGTTGCTACTTTCTCGACTGAGAAGGCACTTCTATAACTTTTTTTGGGGGAGGGGGCGGTGTAATGAAGCTCTTGCAGACTTGGCAGAAAGCAACAAAACCTGACAGAATCTTCATATACTTATATTAAACAATAACAGAAAAAAACTAACTTAACATAGGGTTCTGATTTACACACCCGGCTCATGTGATTTTCGCCATATTTTCAATCAGATCTGGGCCTGATTTAGGCCTGGGAATCTTTATTATCGCCATTATTATTTCTGAAGAAATTTTTTGTGTCTTCTTTTCTGAAATATTAAGCCTTTGTCTTTCAACATGGAATATAAATAATGACATTTTTCAAGAAATAAATTTCAAAAGACAGGATGTGACGTCTTTTTTATTTATTTTTTGTTTTACAGTTTAAGGTGGAAAATGGGGTTTCGTGCGTAAATCAGGGCCTAATTTATCGTCAGTACAGAACAGGGCGAAACGATATTTGCATCAAAGATATACGGTTGCCACAAAAGTTGCCACGTATTTACCTCCCAACTGGTTAATCACCAGCAGATGACGGTTACAGAGAATTTCTTGTTAGCAGACATACTGCTGCCGCTGTTGATAAACTGTAATGACACATGTATTTTAGTAGACAGTTAAAAAAGACTTTAGCAGATATACTCCTAGTAAACATACATCTAAATTCATCCCCCATTTTCGTTCCTTTATTAACCCTCCTTCAACCCCCTTTGAAAGTCGGAGAGATTCTTGCTCTTTTCCATTGTTCCGTATTCTAACCATTTATAATGTTCAAGAAATCACCTGACATATCACGAGCCTATTTTGAATATTCAAATAAAAAGTGCTCTACAAGTTTGAGTAAAAGGGTGTTTTAATAAAGTGGCCAGCCAGTGTATCTTGTTACAGTCGACACAAGTTTGAGTAAAAGGGTGTCTTAATAAAGTGGCCAGCCAGTGTATCTTGTTACAGTCGACACAAGTTTGAGTAAAAGGGTGTCTTAATAAAGTGGCCAGCCA